CTGGCTGTCTCCGGATCGAAAAACGAGAAACCAAATCGATCATGTTGTGATAGACGGAAGGCACGCTTCCAGTGTTTTAGACGTACGCACACTCCGAGGCCCAAACATCGACTCGGACCACTATCTTGTTGCAGCCAAGATACGCACCCGCCTCTGTGCAGCAAAAAATGTGCGCCCAAATATGCAAGGAAAGCTTAACGTCGAAAAGCTGCAATCACAACAGACAGCCAGCGCTTTCGCTACTCGACTCTCACACCTGCTCTCAGAGAGCACTCTTCAACAAACCGACATATGCGAGCAGTGGAACCACATTTCCCGCTCATTAAGTACCGCCGCCGAAGAAGTAGTCGGATTTCAGCGAGCCCGAAAGAACAACTGGTACGATGAGGAGTGTCAGGAAGCTGCAGAGAAAAAAGATGCCGCCTACAGGGCCACGCTGCGATCGGGCGCAACGCGCGCTATGTGGGACCGCTATAGGGATCTGAAGAGGGAAGCGAGACGTATTTGCCGCAACAAGAAGAGAGAGGCAGAAATACGTGAGTGCGAAGAGCTTGAAATGCTGGCCGACAGGAGGAATGCCCGAAAATTTTACCAGAGAGTTAGGCGACTTACGGAAGGTTTAAATACCGGGGCGCACTCCTGTAAGAACAATAATGGCGACCTAGTAACTGATGTCCAGAGCGTACTTAAATTATGGAGGGAACACTTTTCCGCCCTACTAAATGGTAGCAGCACGGAAAGTTGTGGAGAAGAACCCGAGCCCGCAGTCGATGATGACGGAGTCGACGTTCCACCGCCTGACTATGACGAGGTACGTATAGCAATAACGCGGCTGAAAAACAACAAAGCCGCTGGAGCTGACAGCCTGCCAGCTGAGCTATTCAAGTACGGCGGCGAGGAGTTGATAAGGTGCATGCATCAACTCTTGTGCAGAATATGGTCAGATGAACGCATGCCCGACGACTGGAATTTAAGTGTGCTCTGCCCAATCCACAAGAAAGGTGACCCCGCCATTCGCGCCAACTACCGCGGGATCAGCCTTCTAAGCATAGGTTACAAGGTCTTATCGAGCGTATTGTGTGAAAGACTGAAGCCCACCGTCAATGAACTGATTGGGCCTTATCAGTGTGGCTTTAGACCTGGCAAATCCACCATAGACCAGGTATTCACAATACGCCAAATCTTGGAAAAGACCCGCGAGAAAAGGATCGACACTCACCACCTATTTGTCGACTTTAAAGCCGCTTTTGACAGCACTAAAAGGAGTTGCCTATACGCCGCTATGTCTGAATTTGGCATCCCCTCAAAACTCATACCGCTGTGTAAAATGACGTTGAGCAATACCACCAGCTCCGTCAGAATTGGAGAAGACCTCTCCGAGCCGTTCGCCACAAAACGGGGTTTCAGACAGGGCGACTCCCTTTCATGTGACTTCTTTAATCTGATGTTGGAGAAGATAATAAGAGCTGCAGAACTGAACCGCTCAGGAACAATTTACTACAAGAGCGTGCAATTGCTGGCTTATGCCGATGACATCGACAAAAACCGCGAAGTCTGTTCTGCCTTTTCCAAGTTGAATAGGGAAGCAAAGCGCATGGGTCTGGTGGTAAACGAGGACAAGACGAAGTATCTCCTGTCATCAAACAAACAGTCAGCACATTTGCGCCTTGGCACCCACGTCACTGTTGACAGTTACAATTTCGAGAAAGTAGAGAATTTCGTTTACTTGGGAACCAGCATTAACACCGATAATAATGTCAGCATTGAAATCCAACGTAGAATCACTCTTGCCAACAAGTGCTACTTTGGACTGAGTAGACAATTCAGGAGTAAAGTCCTCTCTCGACGTACGAAAACCACGCTCTATAAGTCACTCATCATGCCCGTGCTGGTATATGGCGCAGAAGCATGGACAATGACCACATCCGATGAGGCGGCTCTTGGGGTGTTTGAGAGAAAGATTTTGCGGAAGATTTACGGTCCTTTACGCGTTGGCGACGGCGAGTACCGCAGACGATGGAACGATGAGCTGTATGAGCTTTACAACGATATGGACATAGTGCAGCGAATTAAAATACAGCGGCTCCGCTGGCTTGGTCATGTCGTTCGAATGGACACCGACGCTCCAGCTCTGAAAGTATTCAACTCGGAACCCGCTGGTGGTAGCAGAGGAAGAGGGAGGCCCCCACTGCGATGGAAAGATCAGGTGGAGAAGGACTTGGCTTCACTTGGCGTTTCCAATTGGCGTCAGTTGGCACAGAGGAGAAACGACAGGCGTGCTTTGCTGAACTCGGCCAAAATCGCTTAGGCGGTTACAGCGCCAAAAAAGAAGAAAGAATAAGAAGAACCATATACCGATCTATTTGAAAAAATCGTATTTATGATCCAATTTGCTTGAAATTCGCCAGGTAGCACACTGGTCCACGGTGTCATTGATTCAACTGAATCGGTCGGGAACGATGGAATTTCCGGTTAAACTATTTTGCGGGAGATGACGGCTCCTCAATTACGCTTATGGATGAAGAGCTACAGCGAAATCTACGACTCCAAGCCACCAAACGACCGAGAAGTGGACTGGAAACTCGCCTCGCTACGAAGATGAATCAGTGGTCGCCGATATTCTTATATCCTCGCCAGGTGGAAAGCACTTCACCTTAAAAGACGTGCACTCGCTTGATGTTGCGGCGCTAAAAGTAAAATATAAATATTTCCGAAACCTTCCACTACAGTCGTAGCGTCATATTCAACCCAAACTGCTAATTGGTCTAAACCACAGTGCCTTAACCTCGACAACCAAAATCCGAACTGGAACGTTGTTGGAACCCATCGCCGAGAAAACGCGTTTCGGTTGGACTGTTAAAGGGCAGTTGTCAAGAGAAGAAGTTTTCCTGAGGACCATGTTTTTCACATATGCGACTGCACAAATTCCGCTTCCGTTGATCTACTTAAAGAGTCTAACGCCTACGTTTGTTTATATAATTTAGGCGTTACCGCTAAACCCGTAGCAAATTTGTCGTTTTCAAACCAGCCTGCTTTGGAAGTACATACCTAGCAAAGTCACTCCCCGATAGCTTACCCATGGCTAAACGCAGAGCGCAATATTTGCGCTCCAAGATGCTTCGAGACTCCCAATTGTCTGAAGTTACAGGCAAAAATCACACACTATTTAGAAAAAGGTTACATAAGAAGGTTATTGCCCAATGAAGTAGAGGCTGAAAATTGCTGGTATTTACCGATATTTCCAGTAAGGAACCCAAACAAGCCTAATAAAGTGCGCTTAGTCTGGGATGCAGCTACTAAAGTCAATGGCATCTCGCTAAACTCTTTACTTTTGAAAGGCCCCGATCAACTTACGTCACTTCCCTCAATATTGTGCCGATTCCGTCAGCGGAGGTTTGCTGTTGGCGGTGACATCATTGAGATGTACCACCAAGTGCTGATTAGACCAGAGGACCAAAATTACCAGCGTTTCTTATGGTATGAACCGGGAGCTCAGCAACCTTCGGCGTACGTCATGACCGTTATGACGTTCGGCGCAACTTGCTCCCCTAGCTGTGCACAATATGTAAAAAATAAAAATGTTGAGGAGTTTAGCAGTCATTATCCTCAAGCTGCGCAGTGCATCATAAATAACCACTACGTTGATGACATGTTCGATAGTGTAGACACCGACGAAGATGCGTTCCGTCTAGCAACGGACGTGCAACAAATTCACCAAAAAGGCGGGTTTCTCATCCGCAACTGGGTCTCCAACTCTAAAACGGTTCTTAAGCAGCTCAACGCCGAATTTGCGGCAGATATCAACCTCGACTTAGAAAACGATATGTCAACCGAAAAGGTCCTTGGAATGTGGTGGCCGACCACAGAGGATTACCTCACATTCAATGTCTGAGCGAATGAGAAATAGTGACTTGATACGCACAAATCGACGGCCTACGATGAGGGAAGTCTTCAGTCTTATCATGACTGTATTCGATCATCTAGGTCTAATTGGATACTTCGTTATGTACGCGAAGGTGATTATGCAAAATATTTGGCGAAGTAAGTGTTCATGGGATGAGCCGCGGTGGATAAAAAATCTTCCGAAAATGGAGGGCATCAAAATTCCACGACGTTATATTCGCCAGACGTTTCCCACGTATCCAGAATTGGAGCTACACACGTTTGTAGATGCGAGTGAGAATGGGTACGCTGCTGTTAGTTACTTCAAATACTATGAGGGAGAGAGTGTTCATTGCGTACTCGTTGCTTCAAAAACTAGGGTATCTCCCATCAAGATATTAACAATTCTTCGCCTGGAATTGCATGCTGCAGTACAAGAGTACAATAAAATTTCACTCGGTTCCGATTAAGAAATGCCATTTTTGGACGGACTACCGTACGGTTCTTTCGTGGATCAATAGCGATCACCGCCGCTACCAACAATTCGTTGCATATCGTATTAGCGAAATACTCGAAAATACTGACCCAGTTGATTGGCACTGGACATCGACGCATGACAACGTCGCCGATGAAGCCACCAAATTGAAGAGAGTTCCTGAAATAAGTGTAGACGCTGGTTTAACGGTCTTTCCTTTCTGAAGCTTGATTCACAGAATTGGCCAGCACAGACCGTTGTAACTTATACGACTACTACTGAAGAACTTCGCGCACAATACGTTGGGGTACATCACGAAAGGCAGCTAAACGAATTCATCAAATTAGATGCA